CCCTAAAAGGTCAAGTTTTTTTGCTAAAAGGGAATGGTTTACAGAATCGAATGCTTTACTGAAATCAGTGTAAATGACATCCGTCTGCAAGTTACCTTGAAAGCCTTTAATGATAAAAGAGGTAAACTCTAATAAATTTGTGGTTGTTGATCGTCGCCTTATAAATCCGTGCTGGGACGGCGATATAAGTGATTTGCAGAGATGTTGAAAATGTGGAGTTAAAATTTTTTCAAACATTTTAGGAATAGCGGATAACTTAGATATACCTCTATAATTATTTGCATCAGACTTGCTACCTTTCTTAGGGAGCGGAAAAATAAAAGATTCCTTCCAGATGGGGGAAAGCATGAAGAGCTAATGGATAGGGTGAAAAGTTTAAGCAAGGGTCTACACAGAGCGTCGGCACAGTACCTAAGTACACAGCCGGGAACTCCGTCGGGACCTGGTGAAAACACCGGCTTAACTAGTCGAAGATCATGAAGCAGTGAGCTTTCATTTAACAAGGGGCTGAAGATGCCATTCGACCTTGGTAAACTGTATGGATACGGCTGACTAGAGTAGCTTTCATGAGAATAGGTTGTTTGGAAAAATTTGGCAAAAAGATCGGCAATTGCCTGATCATTGTTTGCTGACATATTGAGAAAAGATAACGAGGATGGATGTGCGGACGTTCTACGCTTACTATTTACGAAGCTGTTAAACTGTTTAGGGTCCTGTGAAAATCGTATCCTGCATCGAGATAGGTAGTTTTTATAGCATTGAGTGTTAAGAACGGAGAAATTTGACCGAGCTTTACATAGTGAGAAAGAGAAGAGGGAGAACCAACTTCTCGATTTTTTTTATAAAGTCTTGATTTTAAATTTTTTAGACTGGATAACTCTTTGGTAAACCAAGAAGGCTTTCCAGATCTAACCAGACAAGAAAGTGGGACACAAGAATCAAAAAATGTCTCAAGTACATTGTAAAGAATGTTTGTGCCTTTCATAACGTCAGTGCACAAATACAGAGCGGACCAATCAAAATCAAAATCAAAATCAGAGGTTATTAAGCTTCGTAAACTATGCTTTACGAAAGCAGCGGACACGTTCAGATAGCCTACCCATTCGATCCAATACAGTAGGGCCAATATCGACTGACACTTCGAATGTAGGATGGTAGGAGTCTTCAGGTATAGTGAGCGGAAGGGCTCGGGCTAGCAACGCTTTGGTCAGATCCGAGACAAAGCACAGATCAAGCAATCGACCCAAGGGATAGGTCTAGCAAGCCGTCGATTATGTCATGTCGTGACATGGGCACAAGGTTATTAGACTCATTTACCGAAGACCAAACAGTACCTGGCAAATTGAAATCACCAAGAACTATCATATGGTCTTTATCTGATAGCGAGGAAGAAACAATTTTTAAAGCGGACAGGTGATGCTCATATATTAAGATATCCGAGGAAGGTGGAATATACGAGCAAGTAATGAAAATGGAAAAGCCTGGGAGAATCAGTTTTACGCACAGGAATTCCAGGTCTTGTTGAACCTGGACCATGAAATGTTCCGACGTGAAGTTTGAGTCCACTGCAATAAGGACCCTACCTCCACGTCGAGACGAACGGTCATTTCTAAAAATTGTGTACCGACCTGCCAAAACTTCGGAACTAAGGATGTCCGGCTTTAACCAGGTCTCGGTGAACACAATAACATGGGACGAGAATGCGAGACTCTCAAGGAAAAGAGTGCTGAGCTTACTACGCAAGCCTCTAGCATTCTGGTAGGTAACTAAAAGAGAGGAAGTTAGTTTTTTGAATGGGTAGAAGTTGGGGTGGAAGATGAGGATGGAGATGGAGCACTGGTCTGAATGCTAGGAAGAGTAATGGGAGGCCTATTCTTTTTCTTAGCCTTAAACTCTTTAACCACCAAATGCTCTGGCCAAAACTTGGCGAAACAAATGGTTTCAAATTGAGTTGGGGAGACGCTTATCTTGAAGGAAGATATCTCCCTGGCGTAAGAAAAGTTAAATTTATCCACCTTTAAGCCGACGGCTTTTATTTTGCTTTGTATATTGGATGTGAGGTCAGGGGCTAGCCGCGAGACAAAAACTTGTCGCTTTGGTGGGACTCCCACCAGTGGTTTTGGCACCACAGGCCTAGTACCTGTGATGGCAGTATCCGGTGGTCCTGGACATCTATTAGCTGGTGGGAGCGAGACTGAGGGGATAGTTAAGGGGTTGGGTGCGGACTCGATGGACACGGACTTTACAGACATTTCTAACTGCATACTCTCCGAAGTGACGCATTCGGCTCCCGAATCTGCATCACCAGCAGCGATCGTTGCCCTTGGAGTAGCAAACGTAATCAACTGCTGCACTAAGGGAGTGGTCGGAGTAAGTTTTTCAGATGCCGGCGGACATGAGGCAGTCGGCACTTGCAAGTCCCGCGGAGTAGACTTCTTGCGCCTCGGAGACTCAGCCAGCAGCTGTAAACTGCTGAACTGAGTGTTCATGGCCAAGAGCCGATCATAATGCTGTTTAAAGCCTACGATCAGCTCTTTGAAGCCACTCCGCGTCTGCCTCATGAACGAACGCATGTCGTTTTCCACAGCACGGCATTCCTCACAACCTTAATGCAGGCCGTTGTTTTGGGAAATGGCGTCTCCTACACGGCCCGAGATCCCTACACATTTTGCGTGCACTACGCTTTCGCAAAGCCAGCAGGGGATATTGGGCTGGTCATGAGTGATCTGCTTCTTGCAGGTTTTTTTGGCACAGACGACAGAAAATTCCATATTTATATCTTTTATTTTTTTTTACTTCGGTAAAAAAAATTTTCAAAACAAATAGCAATCAGACCACTGTGCAGAGCAAATGCTTAGAGCAATGCTCAAAGCGAAATCGGTAAAAGATGATAGAGGAGAATGGTTGCAGCAACAGCTTATAAGTGAGAGCGTTACTGCACAAAAACTTACAAGAGCGAGAGCGAAAGAACAGTTAGTGAGAGTTAGGTGATAGAGAGAGAGTTATAGACGGCAAAAGCTACGACAAAGAGCGGCTAAATGTAATAAGAGGGCGTACTTACGAAAAGCAACAACACAAACACACGACTAACCGACGCACAAAATTTATTAAATAAGTTGTGTTTTTACACAATTATCAGGCATGTACCCGCGGTAAAAGTATGATTTTAATGTAAGTTAGTTAAAGAGTTAAATTATAGATAAAAAAAACACTGGCTGTTTAAGTTAAACAAAAGGAAAATGCGGAGCGCAAAACAAAAACACGTCTGGTCACTACGAAAGAGAACGAACGAAAAGCATTCTTAGTATAAACAATTAACTTACCTTTGTGGCTGGGAAGTGAAGATAACGAGCGGTATGCTGATTAAGAATTTATAGGGAAACATTGGGCTGCCACTGAAGAGAATGACTAGATTGGAAATTACACAAATTAATTTTTCAGTCTCGGTTCTAAACTTTCGGCAGACTTAGACTTGCCCAGATAGGCAGGTCATCCGGGGTCATAGGAAAAGTATCGGCGAAAAGATAACTGAAACACTGCGAGATCTCCCTCTATCTGTACATTGTCAAAAAGCTCTTCTAAGACGATCATGATACAAAGCTATTATTTAACGGTAGCTATAAACTGCATGAATTATAAAAAACAGGCATTCGAATTAACAATGCTCAAAATGAATTGAGTGAAACTCATACACACAACATTGAAACGACAAGGCACGAATTGAATGAGTGAGAGTGAGGGCTGTTTCCGAATTCATTCGAATGAATGTTTTTTTTTTGTTGCTGCTTTTGAGTATATTTGTGTTCGTATTGGAAGCAAAAGAAGCAAGGATATTTTATTTTTTGCTTTACTGTTCTGTAGGGAAAATAATAAACAAAATAAGGAAGAGCAATGTAGTTTTTGTACGGCATTTATTTAAACTAAGTTGGCATGAAGAAACATAATTTTGTTTATATTTTCTGGATTGGTAGATAATTGGCAACGCTTTTCGGTGATAAAGTTTCTGGCAGTTCTGGCTGTCACGGCATGAAAGTGTTATAGGAAAAATTGTTCGGGCTCGACGTCGACAAAAGCACCGACGTCGACGTCAGCACAAAATTCTATCCAGCTTCAACTGCTGCATATCGAAGCGGACACATCAGAAAGAGAAACAGATATCCATAGATTTCCCTCTCTCTCAAATTTGTAGTTTTCTCTACCTGCATTCGAAACTAACTAAAAACTAAATATTTTTTATTTTTTTAAATATATTCATATATGCAATTTGACTTATTTATTTACAGATCAAAGTTTGGAAGTTGCTGAAGAAGGACCCATTGTCTAGGTTCCTCAAAAGTGTGCTGGACGAAACAGTAGTGCAGGAGTACAACCTAAACGGGATTTGCGGGAAAAAAATGTTTAAAAGGCCCGCCGGACTATTTTATTTCAGGAGCATTGGTGCTTATTAACCCGATCAAGTCGGTTAAGGAAGGCACTACAGATAATTAAAAATATTTAAATCAACAAAAAATCTAGAAAATCGGTGTTAAATAAATATATTTACTTTTATTTGAAAAAATGTTTCGGTGGCTTTTTCGTATGAATTTATCCGTGAAATTCCTTTTAATTGCATGAGAACTTTCCCAGGTGATTTCATATAGGACATTTTCGGAAGTGTCCCGAGTGATTTCACGCATGGCTTATACGTATAAGCCACCGCTGAAATCACTAGAAAATTCAGTGAAAATTTCATATGAAGTTTCACGAGTGACAAAAGCGGACATGCCCATACAAATTTCATCTGGAGTTTCACCAGTGAGGCACCTGTGGCTTAGGACATGCCATGAGTGATTCACCGAATGAATCACGAGTGAAAAGTGACTTTTGGAACGGCAGGGGTGTGAGGCACACACACACTCCCATTCGTATAAACTCAGTTCATTGTGTGCGTGTCACTCAATTCAATTCAATTCGAATGGATTCTATGGGAATTTTCTTTTGAATGGAGCTACGCAGATCTCTACTATAAACCGAGAAATAATGTAATTTTATTAGTATACAAATCTATACATATTTACATACGTATGTATGCTTACTAGAGTATATCTACAGACATATACAACTAAATGGTTGGTACAAAATTATATATACATCATTTCAGCCATTGAAGACATTTTTTTTGGAATATGCACCATAGTATCAAAATAGCTAGCCAATTCTGATATCGTTACATCGTCACAGTTGCTTGGGGTTGTCGTATTATAACAAGCTTGCTGAGAGCATGTTGTTCCCATAAGTGAAACTGATAGTGATCTCTTAGATGCAGATATTGTAAAAGCGTTGCGTTCCTTCATTGACAGCAGTCTACAATTGATTTCTTTTTTTCTTGAAATTGTTTTATATTTGCTGCATTTGTTTGATACAAGTCGATTACCCAAAGTTGATTTCTTTGTTTGGTCCAGCAATAAATCGCATTCACTGATAAGATCGCGGAAACTGCAAGGGTCGCCTATATTAAAGTTTGACTTTTTAGTTTGAATTTGGCTATGTGTTTCTTTTTCTGCGTTTAAAAGAAACATTTTTTGACTTCGAACAAGACTCCTTCCGTGTTCACAACCAAATAAAGTCTTAAGTATAGGTTGCCGAAAAAGATATTTCTTGGTAGGGGCGATATATTTTCTTTGTGCAAGCTTTTTAACACCATGCGAGTGACTTGCTGGACTTGTTATTATAAAAGATTCCGTTTGAACAAAAGACTTTTGTTGCGTACAATTCTCAAGGCAGCTCTCGGATCGACGCCTAGGTTTACACTTCCAGCGATGTACCATTTTGTGTTTGACGCTAAGTATTTGTTCAAAGTTATCCGCATTTGACAGTTTAAAATCATTGTCTGAATTGTAGAATGGGTTCCTTTTTACTGATTTGAAAATAGGGTGTGTTGGCGTTATTTTCAACTTGTCAAGATTAGCTGGTAATTCCTCCGTAGTCATTCTAAAGAAAATATTTTTAATCGTTAGAAAACTATGTATTTCGGATTTTTTGTCCGGTATCTGAAGTATGGTAGCGTTGCGTAGCCTAAAATACCTTTTTGTTTATTTTTGTTTGTTGGCTCTCAATAAAAATATTCTATGTATAGTGTAGGGCTGCAAAACCATCTATGGTATCGATGGTTGTTTAATTTGGCGATATATCGATGGTTTTTTTTGTCCATCGATATCGACCATATTGCATAGTGAGCATATATATATATATCTCTTTTACCTTCCAGAACTCTCTGATTCGCGCATATTATAGCCTAGTACTAAGATCCAAAAACTGTCATATATTCTTCTAGCGGCCAGTGGTGTGACCAGAGGTATGCACTGAAGTCCGTACGGTTAGAATGCTCAGACAGCTGTTTGGTTTTATTTAAAGAACTTCTTCGGCTGGGGTCGCTCTTCCCCAGGAATATCCTGGGCTCCCCATCATTGTCGAAGGTGCAGAAAAATTATGCGAGGCATTTAGACCACAGCCGCATCTTTTTTCGCATAATATTTCAGCTTTGTTATTGTTTGATGCGAGAAAAACAGCTGTTTGCTAACGATATCCCATCGAAACCCGTCGATAGCCCGAATAATTTCAGTATTTTGTAAAAATACTAGACAGAATACGGCAACATATGCTAATGATGCGCCGCAGTGGAAAAAGGGTATAAGACGTTCGGGTCGTGGACCTGAGACGTTCGTCATTTTTTCGACATGTTCGATTCATGACGATATGCGAAAGCAAGCCGAGAATTGTAAATGTATGTGTGTACACAGACACGACAAAATATTTATCAATTCTTATTTTCCGAAAACGTTCGAGTTTGGAGTTTGCAGGTTACGTAATTGTGTGTGTGGTTTGCCACGTACGCTCACATACTGTGCTTGTGTGTGGGTTCTACAATTTTTGGCCGATTGAACCGAAATTTGTTTTTCGTTTTGTTTTGAGGGCAGATGTAGCGACCTGAGCTGAACTACCGCAACATAAATATGAAATGTTCAAAGTGGGTGGGGGTGGGAAATAAATACAATATGTAAAAATAAAAAATGTTATTTGTTTATTTATTTGAAATTGCACACTTACATATACATATCCCCATTTTAGACATGTAAACTTATTGACAAAATAATAGGTGATTTTTTTTCTTTTTCAACTTTTGATTTCTAGTTCATATCTTCTCTAATCTCAACAAATAAAAGTTTTTTCAAATCTTATATTAATTGTCTTTAAAGAAAAAGTAAAAACAGTTTCACAGACCCTTTAATTTACAAGAAATTTAAATATTTCCCTAAATCGGTCAATAGGCGCACATGAATCAGAGACCGACGCAACTTTTTTCCACCACTAAGGCCCTATGCTTAACCTATGTAAAAAAAACTGCGTGTCCGGCAAGTCGCAAAGAAGCATGACACAGCCCCAATGTAAACAGCCTAAAAATCTATGAGAAACGCTGGGATCTTCTGACAGATTTGAAACTCCTATTTCCACTGGCACCATCTACCATCTACACAATGAAAAACAGGTGATGATGCGGCCAACATTGACGAGGAATATTTATTGGAATGGATATCTGTTTTGAAAATACTGAAGCGGGGTCAATTATGACAGCTTCTATTATATCCATTAAATGTTTTAAATACAAATATATATGCTATGTTTTGTAGAAGCGATTCGGGACATTCTTGGAGAAAGATGAACCCGAAAATAATGAGGTGTTCTTTGAGGAAATTTTTGTATAGCCATAGCATAGCATTGTATACCTTGGGCTATATTTCTGAGTACAGAATAGTCGGAAGGCTATCAGCCAACCGATATTTGCAAAGCATTCATAAATATTTACAGTAACTGTAATACAGTTGCATTTTAAAATTATCGAATATTATCGCATAACTATCGTGCATTATAGGAACATCCCAGATGGATATTGGAATAACTGGGAGATTTGCGGAACGGCTAAACCTTACAGACCATCCCGAAATGTATGGTGGATGGTCGCCTTTGGGAATAGGCTATTACACGCACCATCCACCATGCATGGAAAAACAGACGAAAATGTTACTGTTTAATTCGCAAGGATAGATATTAATTTGGAAATTGTCTTGAGTAAAAAATTAATAAATTCGAAGAGACAGAGATATATGAATGATATACTCGATTCCAACTGCCATCATGGTGTTTCAAAAATATTTTTGGGAAATATTGGAAATTTATTGAGGACTTGGCGCTCTCTGTCGGCCAGGGGTGAACAGCTGGCGCCCTATAGGGCTCAGAGCGAATGATCAGGGCAAGGCATTTTTCGGAGGGAAAGAGAGTAACAGGGACAAATGTCAGGCCAATCACTCAGTGGCCCTTAACCTTTCCGAGTCCATGAGGTTGGCGCTTGAACGGAAGCGTCTGGCTCGATCTCTTCTTTTTGGTCCCCCAGTCAGTGCGGTTGTGCGGAGTGGAAGAACTCCCGTTTGTATACGCGCATACACACAAGTAAAGTGCAAAGTGGTTTTGGAAAAGGTCCAGAAAGGAGGAGGGTTTTTTTTGGGTAGAATTTCGTTGAATTGGTGAGAATAAACCACTAAAGTTTGAAGGCGACAACTTCTAATTCCATCGCATTCCGACTCCATCGCAGATCTTGGAGCCCGTTAGCCATCGCTGGGCAGAGGCGACGCCGCGAAGAGGTGCCCTTAAATTGGGAGTTGGGGGATCGCTCCCGCTGTCCAGGAGAAGATCAGTAGAGGAGTCCCGCTCCATCACCTAGGAGGTGGCGGTCAACACACGCAAAAGTTCGGACGAACCCATTTTTTTGCATCTCCCTTGCTCCTGCCTGTTCGTTTAATACTAGCCGCGCTCGCGATCAGCAGCTTAGGGAACAAGGGAAAAGGGGATCAGCAGAAATTCTAGCAGGCAGAGATAGCGCATAGCAGATGGCTACTTAGTGCCGTGGACGTGCAGTGAGACAGCTGCGTCGGACGACCCTTTGCTATCGGGAACGAGGGAATCGCGAGAGACCCCCTTGTGGATCTTGGCGGCGAATCGCCCGAGGCTTATCAGATGCCCAAAAATAATTTTATTTATTTTTGGTGATTAGTTCGTGTATTTTTTTGTTATGTTTAAGTTAAAAGAAAATTAATGTTCTAGTTTAACCGTTACGTTTGTGTCGCAGCCAGTTAGGCAAGTGTTTGTGCAGTGAGCCATGAGAGCGAGAGGTCAGGGAATGCGCGTTCAAATATTTTTGTATCTGTCCCAGTATTTTTCCTCTCTCCCCTTTTCTCCCAGTTAAAGTTTCAGCAGTACGTCGGTGAAAGCCCTTTCTTCTATGGACTCCTGACAATGGTGAGTGTTTTTTGGCCATATAAGTCGGCATTTTTGTATGTAGTATCAATGTAGTACCGGATGCTCTGTCTCGGGTGAATGAAGAGGAAGTGGCGACTTTGGACGCGAGCCATGGTTTGTTGGTGGGCTTGGAATCACCGGAATTTAAGTCAGAGGAGTATGTGGAGATGGTAGAAAGGGTTAGGGTCAATAACGACAAGTTGCCAGACCTAAAAATGTTTGACAATTTGCTGTATCGCAAGTCAGATCATGCAAAGGGAGAGGTACTGAATGATGTATTCATTTGGAAGTTATGGGTTCCACAAGGGTTAGTAAAGGAAGTTTTGCGGAATGCGCATGACAATCCTTTGGCTTCCCATGGAGGCACACACAAGACTCTGGAAAGGATACGGCGGTATTATTACTGGCCAGGGTTAGTTGCGGATGTCAAAAAGCACATTCAGGCTTGTAATAGCTGCAAGTCAACCAAAGCCCCAAACACAATCCAGAGACCGCCAATAGGGGTTGCTCCCGAGTCGCAGCGATTCTTCCAGAAATTGTACGTGGATTTCCTTGGGCCATATCCCCGGTCGAGAAGTGGTCACATAGGCATTTTTATTGTATTGGAACACTATTCCAAATATGTGTGTTCTAAAGGCAGTTAAGAAGTTGACTGCGGATTTGGTAGTGAAATGCATGCAGCAAGATCTTTTTCACGCTTTTGGGGTTCCGGAAACCGTAGTGTCTGACAATGAACCGCAGTTTAAGTCAGAGGCATTCCGAAAGCTTCTCCGGGAATATAGGGTTGCACACACTTTTGATTGCTCTGTATTCACCCCAGGCTAATGCTTCCGAGCGGGAAGCACTTCATCACTTCAGGAGCCACCTATAAGCTTCTGAGAGCATTGCGTATGGTGGATGATAAGTCAGCAGTTTTCTCTCGGGAGGATTCGTTGGACTTGGTTCGGAGCAGGAAGTCATGGAAGTCATGAAGAAACAGAACCATAAAAATGAACGGCAATACAATTTACGATCGAGAGACATTTCATACGAGGTTGGGCAGGAAGTTTTTAGGAAGAATTTCAGGCAGAATTTCCCACAGGCTACAGTGCGAAATTGGGTCCGGCCTTTCTGAAGGCTAGGGTCAAGAAGAAGATAGGGCAGGCATACTATGATTTGGAAGATTTGCAGGGTCGTTTTGTAGGTCGATTCCACGCAAAAGATATGCGGCAGTAAGCCAGCTGCTTCGAGCTGCTTTGTTCTTATCCTTGGGAGTTTGACCCCCAAGTCTGACCTTTGGTGGGGGGCTTTTGTAACGCTTGTAGCAGCAGCCAGAGTGTGCGTGGGTGGCGCTCTCTGTCGGCCAGGGGTGAACAGCTGGCGCCCTATAGGGCTCAGAGCGAATGATCAGGGCAAAAGCTCGGACGAGCCCATTTTTTTTCATCTCCCTTGCGGCTGCCTGTTCGTTTAATACTAGCCGCGCTCGCGATCAGCAGCTTAGGGAACAAGGGAAAAGGGGATCAGCAGAAATTCTAGCAGGCAGAGCTAGCGCTTAGCGGATGGCTAGTTAGTGCCGTGTACGTGCAGTGAGACAGCTGCGTCGGACGACCCTTTGCTATCGGGAACGAGGGAATCGCGAGAGACCCCCTTGTGGATCTTGGCGGCGAATCGCCCGAGGCTTATCAGATGCCCAAAAATAATTTTATTTATTTTTGGTGATTAGTTCGTGTATTTTTTTGTTATTTTTAAGTTAAAAGAAAATTAATGTTCTAGTTTAACCGTTACGTTTGTGTCGCAGCCAGTTAGGCAAGTGTTTGTGCAGTGAGCCATGAGAGCGAAAGGTCAGG